AGATGGCCGCCATGATGGTTTGACTTGCTGACAGGAACCCTTGTTTCTTTCTGCTGTTAACCAGGTGAGGGAGCCCCAGAGTAGAGAAGTTGCCCTGTAGCCTCTGAATCCTGTTCCCTGGTGGAAGCTTAAAACCGGGACACCCCCCTGGGCCCGAGACAGGGAGACCTGCTGCCCGAGGCCTGGACACACCAAATCCATAGACCCCACCAGACTCCCTCACGGGTCTGGTGGGTGCTGGGCCCTGCAGGGCGGTGCAGGGAGGAACAGCCCGTCCTGCAAGTCAGACTGCGGTCCAGAACCTGGTCTCACACTTGGGAAAGAGCTGAGCCGGTGGCCCCGTGAATGTGGGGTCAAAGGCAGGCCTGACTCCTGTGCCCCTCGTTTGATCAGTTACAGGCCAGGCCCGTTTGATTTCAGCTCCCGGCAGGCGGCCCGGGGACCTGTTCCAGCTTGGACTCTAGGGGCTGAAACCAGAGAAGCCCCTGCCTGGCCCAGAAGCAGCTCAGGCTGTATGTCAGGTGGCCCAGCGTCAGCTCGCAGGCTGCCAGGCTTCCTGCAGAGACCTGTGCCTAAAGGAATTCTAATTAAAAGGATGACCGATGAAACACCTCAGACTGACCCCTCAGTGGATCCTGGGCTGCTGGGCCCAACTGTGTGCAGAGCGATTCCCACCCTGTCTGCAGAAAGACCTCAGAAATGGCGTGTGCATGAGGGCACGCCCCACTCCAGAGCCAGGACCTCCAACCAGGGGCACAGGGCAGGGATGGTGGCCCCTGTGGCCCTCCCTGCCACACCCACCCCTTCTCCCCCTTCCGGAGAGTCTGGCCTGGAAAAGCTGCCTGGGCCGCATCTGATTACAGCTGATAGGTGAGTGGAGCCCTAGATACAGCGCTCTGCCTGGGACAGCAAGACGTGCCACTGCCTCCACAGGCTGTCCTAGATTCTCTGCCTTGCAAGCGTTACCACTAGGCCAGTGGGGCACTTGTAGGGGGCACTCGCTCCGGGACCCCCAGTGATGTGAGGGTGTCTGTGACCAAGTGTCTGGAACAGTGGAGAGTGCTGGGACTTCGCCATTCCTGGGGTCCCTCAAGCCACCACCCCTACTCCTCATAGATAGCACTGAGCCATCTGGGACGGCCCAGGGCGAGAGGCCCGAGGCATCGCCTGACCAAGGGAGGGGCGGGCAGGTCTAGGAGTGGTTTTGAAGCCCACATTTCTGTCCTAAGAAAGCAGCAAGGTGTAAGGTGGGATAGGCAGCTGGCAGGGCCTGCCTTTCTGGCCCAGGGCCTGGGTGCCATGTGGATGACAGGGCAGGGGCCAGAGCAGCACTAACCCAGCCACCACAGGACAGGTGGGGTGCTTCTGAGGTCTCCTATTGTGGGGGACAGCTGGATGATGCAGCTCCCCCAGGGCGATAGAGCACAGGTGGTAGGAAGAGACTGGGCTGGGGATGGGCTTCCACTGCCTGATCTGACTGCCTTTAGGATTACCCTGATGCCCTTATGCCCTACTCCCTCCCCTCTTGGTCCCAGGCTGCCCACTGCCTGTTCACCCACTGTCGCTGCCCACAGCGCAGTCACCCCTGCTGTTTCTGACTCCTATATAGACGTGTGGGGCATCATCCCTGCAGCCCAGCGTGTTGGGTGTGAGGTACAGGCCCTCATGGGCGTGTCTGCTGTATATTTATTTGGCCTTCGTGGTTGGTACACAGATGTCAAATGGGTGGCTGAGATGAGAAACTCAACAGGACAGAGCCTGGTCAGGGGCCAGGGCTCCTCCCACCCAGAGATGGCCACTGGGTGATTGCAGAGATGGGGGCCTTGAGGTGGTGACAGCTTTCAGTCCCTGAGTGCAGGGAAGATGGCTCAGCCCGAAGGACCTGGAGGGACTGGAATGGGGGACAGCTGGCTGAACCATGAAGTGTGGCTGCTCAGACTGCACCTCCAGGCGGGGCCTGAGGCTGGAGCACCTGCCTAACCCTCCCTCCTTGCCCAACACTGGGTGGACTCTGGGCTGGGACTGGCCTGGGGCCTCACCACAGGAGTCCTGGGTCTGAGTTGGGGTGGGGTTGGCAGGTCCTGTCACAAACCACCCAGCTGCACGTGAAGCAGTTTGTCCTGTTTTTATTTGCAGTTTCCCGAGACAGAACAAAATAAGAATTTTTGTACACTTACAAGGCTCAGAAAGAAAAGACAATAAAACTCAGCAAAAAGAGAAGGGAGGAAGGTCCACTGGCACGGGGGCAGCCGGCGAGCCTCCGCACGCCCCCGCAGCCGGGCGGGCCACGCACGGACACCTAGTAGCAATGCGGGGTGTGGTTCTCTTTAGAGGTCATGCAAAAGAACTGTCCCCCCAAAAAAGGAAAACAAAAACAAAAAAAACAAAAACCAATGATCCCAGACAGGCGGCTCTGTGGTAACAGCAGGAGCAGTGGCAAAAGAGACCACCACCCTGCCCAGGGCCTCACGCTCACGGAGCCTGGAGATGTTTACCCTGTGTCCATGGAGGGAGGGAGGGCCCGGGCACCGGCCATCCTGAGCAGAGTGTGGACGGCACAATGGGTGTCCACTCTGAGTGTCCCTCGATAGACAACCCCCTGAATGTGGGATCCTGGGTCTGCTCCCCACTCTACGTCCCTCCCTCAGCTTGAGTTGTTGGGGGAAGATAAAGTCCTTGTTGAAAATGCAACCTGAATTGAAGGTGGCTGGTATTGGGTAGGGTCCTCCCCGGGGCCTCTTCCTCCCTGGCCCCTCATCTGGCCGACCCCTTGAGCTCTTCTCTGCAAGTGTGTGATCTCCTGCACCACATGGTGCCCACCCACCACACCAGACACCTGATGCCCATAGTTGTGCTCCTGGGGCTACGGACTGTAGAGACACAGGCTCCTCCCCCACCCTCCAGTCACCTTGCCTCACATGCCAAATGGCAGCTGGTGGGCACAGCCATGCCCCCTGGATCCCTCCCTCAAGTCCCATTTGCTGGGCCCTGCTCCCAAGTGTCCACGCTGGTCCTTCCTTAGTCTCCAAGAGGGCCAGGCAATCATAGTTTCCTCCTGCCCACAGCCTGCCTTCTTGCCCACTGCCGGGTCCCTGATGCCTCCAGGGCTTGGCTGGAAGGTGCTGCGGACTCAACGTCTCCTTGCAGGCTCACACTCCACCAGGGCCCAGCAGAGTCAGGGGCCCCGGCTCTGGGCGCTGTTGGCCTGGGATGGGAAGCAGCACCACCAATGGCTCCCCTAGTCAGCCCCACTACTTCCTGCCTGCCTGCTAGCTCGTACACTGAGAACCTCCTGTGCTGTGTTCCAACCTTGGCTTTTGAGCAGCTCCAGGTTCTCCTCCCTCTGCTTCCAGACCCAGGTGCCGCAAACACACCTATTTCAGAAAACACCTGTTCAGACACTGCCTCAGCCCAGGTGGCCCCACAGCCACCTGTCTCCATGCCTTCTGCCCCCTCAGCTACTTCTTGCATCACCCTGCAGCTCAGCCACCACAAACACTGCCCGGCCGCCTCCGATGCAGTCAGGGCATGAGGCCCACAGTTCTTCCTCGTGTCTGCTTCCAGGTGGTGACGGGACTGACCAGGAGGGCCTGGCCAGAGAAGGGAGGGGGCCAGCCCCAGGCAAAGGCCCCCACAGTGGGCGTGTCCTTTTGGCCTGCCTCAGGCAGACACGAAGTCTGAAACTATAGTGCATCCGCTCTGCACCTCACTGGCCTCTGAGAAAAGACCAGAGCTGCTTGGGGTCTTCTGGGATGGTCTTGAGGGCTGGGTCAAGCCCAAGGCAGAGTCCCCAGTCGCTTCTGGTTTCTTCCACTATGTCTCCATCATCCTCCCAGAGGGTGGCAGCATCCAAGGCCCAGCCAGGAATGCCAGCTCCAGGGGCTGAGGGACTGGCCTGGCCCTGTGCTGGAGTGCATCATCCATGGCTGGGGATGGGAATGTGGGCACAGGGAGAGCCCCACACCCATCCCTAAAAAGGATGACGGGCAGAAGAGAAGAAAGAAACAAAGCAGGAAGGAACAACAGCAACTCTCAGGCACAAGTAGCAGAGAAAGGAGGGTAGGCCCAGAGGGACATCCACGGCCCCATCCCCTGGCCCCATCCCCAAAGATGCCTGACAGCTCACGGCAGCCACTTGCAAGCACACCACTGCAGAGGCCCATGCACTGGCAGAGAGAATGCAGATGCCTTAGTTTGTGGGGGTGTGTGTTATCTACCGAACTAACACCATTCAACACAGGGTCAGAAGAGGGGGTGGAGCCTTGTGGACAATTTCACTGCCCCACCTGGTCAGTGGAGGCCGAGGCACTGGACGGACATGTGGAGCTGTGGGGGGAGTGGCTGGTTGGTTTCAAAGCCCCACAAACGCCAGTGATTTTTACAGATTTTTTCTGTTTTTTTTTTTTTTTTTCATTTCATCCCATGTCAATTTTTTTTTTTTTTTTGTGGTTGTCGTTGTCATCATTTAGTTTGTAAAAAGAAATCACATCTGGTCTTGGTTTTTCTGCAGACACAGGCACCAGGGGAGGGGATGAGGCAGACACGAACATGCGACAGGCAGGCCGTGCACCCCGAAGGGCAGCTTGGCTCCAAACACCAACTTGATCAGGATGAGCCCACTGGCGGGCAGCTCTGAAACACAGGGCAGGCAGGGCGGCCCCGTCACTGCCTGCTGGCTGGGACCACTTTCCTAAGCAAGCATTTTAACTTCTCTGACCCTAGGTTTTGTGGTCTGCAAAATGGGCAACCTGAAAGGAG